TCATGAACAATTTCGATGATGGATTGACCAAGAGACTTGAACGACGTACGCTGAGGTTGGAGATCGGCACTGCAGATCGAGAGATATGGCTTTGGCCTGTTGCAATCCGAGCCCCTATGGCACATTCGAGAGTTCAAGGCGGTGTGCACATCGAAGACAGAAAGACTTCCTACCAGATGAACCCAGGAGTCGGATATACTCTTGGAGGAGGATTTCACTGCACTACTTTTGACAACATCGCCCAAATCTTCAGAGAAGGATTACGTCCCGGAGGAGGAGGTGACCGCATCAATACGTTCTTCGTGCCATTCGCACCGTGGGACGTGCGAAGTCAGACGGTGCTGCGATTCAGAAGGATTGATCAAACTGATCTCGTCTACATCTACATCACGTATGAATCCATCGCCAAGTTCTCCCCTCGAGTATCAGCAGACGGACACATCTTGGTCCAAGAGACAATTCCTTTCGAATCATTCGATGCAGTTTGGTACTATGATTGGAAGGAAAAGGATTATTACCGTCTCATGATCACAAAGGGAAAAGATCAGATTGTACTTTCTGTGCAAGGAGCAAGGAGGGTGGCCACCATCGAACGATTTGACAAACTCATTGGGAACATTGTCCCTGATGAATCTTCACCCGATCTGAACGAACTCCGAAAACTTGTCGACATCAAGGCCGGTCACTTCAGTCATTCTCACAGATTATTTCCTGGACATCCGGATTGGAATGATGCAATATCGCTTCTAGCAGTCACTCATCGTCCAAGCAAGGAAGATCATCGACTATGCCCCGCATGTCTGATGGAGACCCCTGCATCATTATCGATTTGTGTGGTTTGCAAAGGATTTTTGGTCAGTCATGGATGGAGGAAACGAATCAAGATTACCGTGGCTACTGTACCAAATGCCGAATCACGTCCTCGAGAAGAAGATGTCAAAGACCATGTCAAGAAAGCGTGGGAGGAAGTCAAAACTGATTTGACAGGTGAAGGAGACGACGATGAACTGATGCAAGATGATGATGATGTCACCATGAAGAGTCCAGAACAAGAACCTCAACAAGAAGAAGAAAATGATGATCAAGCCTCGAAAAAGGGTGACATCAATGACGAGAGAAGAGACTTCAGAAAGCAAGATGAAGTCGATGAATTTCTCAATGAGGAACGAGAGCAAACCGATGAGAATGATGATGAAGAGAAAGAAGACGGTGAAATCAACATAGAAGAGTACGAGGCCGGAGAAGCTCATGATGCAGTGGTTGAGTACCCCACATGGTTGAAGAGGATCGAGTTTGGATCAAAGGTCCTACCAATCGAGCCTTGTACAATTGGAGATGCTCAGCCGGAGCTCATCAAAATCCTTCTGTTACAGATTGGGTTGCATATCGTCAGGATCTACAGACTATTCCAACGGAACTTCTGTGGAGACATTGAAACGGCATGGCAACACTTCCAACAGAACAAGAACTTCAGGATGGATTTGGATTCAAGAGTGCCATACCTAGGTGAGGATGAAAATGGTGAACTCATCGAACCAACTGCACAACAAATGAAAGAGCTATACCAGGAAATCGGCCGACCAGAACACAGGGACGACATCGGGGAAGAGGGATTCGTCAATGCATACTATGGGGCAGTAGTGCTCAAGCGACTGCTCGTATATACCCTTGAATGCGGTTACACCTATGAAGACTTGCAAAATATCTTCTACGACGAAGAGATGGAGAAGCTGTCGAAAAATGACACATCAAGGGATGAGATGAGGAAGACCACAGCTGCCCGCGAAGCCCTTGACCGACAAGATGTCATGGTCAGAAGAATCATTGCAGGTGCATACAGAGTGAACGCTGTTTATTTCTTCAGGAACGTCGACTTTCAAGACACAATCACACTGAATCCAGTTGACATAGTGTGTGCTCTTCGACCTCCACTTCGAAGAATATCAGTTTTGCATCTGATCCTTCAAAATGGCCGACAACTGCCACGACCTCTACTCCAGAAGCTGTATGATGCGATCGATGACTACAACCACATCAAGCAACGAGATGATCAACGACCGAGATGGGGCATCCACATGTCAGAAGCCCACCTGGTCGCAATCGCTGATACCCCGGTTCCTGCCAAACGTGAACGTGCTACCCCGGCAACTGGCAAATCAAAGGCAGCCCCGAAGACAGCACCGACACTGGGCAGAGTATCAAAAGCGAAAGCATCATCAACGGCGACATGGAGAACCGTCGAAGCTGCTCCTCCGCCGAAACAAGCTCCAGTACCTCCGCCACAGAAAGGTGGAAAAGACCAAGGGAAAGGTGGAAGATCTTATTCACACCGTGGTGGCGACTGGAACCATCAAGGATACTATGGATGGGGATACAGACGATAAATCGACATGACCTCTGCATAGGTCCTGATTGAACCTGGCGAAGCGAGGCAGCAATCATTGCTCGTGATTTACCTCTACTTCATTATGAATGACTTCTGAGAGGAATCTGAGCCGGCTAATTGAGAGCAACATTTTTTATTAGAGTATCATTGCATGAAACGCTGAGTTTCTACAGCGGTCTACGTCTCAACTGACGAAGGAACGGGAAGGTAAACTTCTAGCTCCGTAGTCATCTTTGTGTTTTGATTTTATTTCCATGCTTGAGTGAGATTCCATGATGGCTACGCCACTTCGGATGAACCTCAATGCTGTACATAGAATACGTCTCGTCAGCATGCATGTGAACAGATTTTTTTTAGTGGAGATCGTAGCAAGCCGCATCGTAGATTTGAAGTTCTGAATGAACTTTTAACTCTCCATAATTCAATAAATGTACATCTGCAAATGTGACATAACGACTTAAGGCCATTCCTTTGCGCGTGATCAACAAAGTTGGTCATGCGTGGGGGGTGCGAATGGGGAGTAGACCACAGTGTACAATAACATCCCCATGTCAGTAGCCAAGTCTCATTTTAGCCAGAGGGTCAACCGCAATACCCTTTGGCTCAAGTCACCCCTACTGCAGACCCGCGAGAAATAAAACGTATGCCGAAGCTGTGACCTCGTTCGTCTCGAGTATTGGAGCATCAGATCAACATCAAAGGAACATATCGGAGAAAGAACCTCCGATTCACAGATTAGATAGATATATAGATAGATAGATAGATAGATAGATCGATAGATAGATAGATAGACAAGATAGACAAGATAGACAAGGTAGACAAGATAGACAAGATAGATTAGATAGATTAGATAGATTAGATAGATTAGATGGATAGACAAGATAGACAAGATAGATTAGATAGATTAGATAGATAGGTTTGATTAGATAGATTAGATAGATTAGATAGATTAGATAGATAGGTTTGATTAGATAGATTAGATAGATTAGATAGATTAGATAGATTAGATAGATTAGATTAGGATAGGATAGATAGATAGATAGAAAGATAGATAGATAGATAGAGATAGATAGATAGATCGATCGATAGATAGATAGATAGACAAGATAGACAAGGTAGACAAGATAGACAAGATAGATTAGATAGATTAGATAGATTAGATAGATTAGATAGATTAGATAGATTAGATAGATTAGATAGATTAGATAGATTAGATAGATAGACAAGATAGACAAGATAGATTAGATAGATTAGATAGATTAGATAGATTAGATTGATTAGATAGATTAGATAGATTAGATAGATTAGATAGATTAGATAGATTAGATAGATCAGATAGATCAGATAGATCAGATAGATTAGATAGATTAGATAGATTAGATTAGGATAGGATAGATAGATAGAAAGATAGATAGATAGATAGATAGAGATAGAGATAGATAGATAGATAGATAGATAGATAGATTAGATAGATTAGATAGATAGGTTTGATTAGATAGATTAGATAGATTAGATAGATTTTATTTAGATAGACAAGATAGACAAGATAGACTAGATAGATTAGATAGATTAGATAGATTAGATAGATTAGATGGATGGATAGATAGATAGATAGATTAGATAGATAGGTTTGATTAGATAGATTAGATAGATTAGATAGATTAGATAGATTAGATAGATTAGATTAGATAGATAGATAGATAGATAAGATAGATAAGATAGATAAGATAGATAAGATAGATAGATAGATAGATAGATAGATAGAAAGATAGATAGATAGGTAGGTAGATAGATAGAGATAGATAGATAGATAGATAGATTAGCTAGATTGGATAGATAGGATAGATAGGATAGATAGGATAGATAGGATATATAGGATAGATAGGAAAGATAGGATAGATAGGATAGATAGGATGGATAGGATAGATAGGATAGATAGGATAGATAGGATAGATAGGATAGATAGGATAGATAGGATAGATAGGGTAGCTAGGATAGCTAGGATAGCTAGGATAGCTAGGATAGCTAGGATAGCTAGGATAGCTAGGATAGCTAGGATAGCTAGGATAGCTAGGATAGCTAGGATAGCTAGGATAGCTAGGATAGCTAGGAAAGCTAGGATAGCTAGGATAGCTAGGATATCTAGGGTAGCTAGGATAGATAGGATCGATAGGATCGATAGGATCGATAGGATCGATAGCATAGATAGCATAGATATCATAGATAGGATAGATAGGATAGATAGGATAGACAGGATAGATAGGATAGATAGGATAGATAGGATAGATAGGATAGATAGGATAGATAGGATAGATAGGATAGATAGGATAGATAGGATAGATAGGATAGATAGGATAGATAGATGGATAGATAGATAGATACAGTCAGATATACTAATAACCATACTAATAATAGTAACAATATCAATATTAATCAGATATATCAATATCATATACTAATAATCAGATATATCAATATCAATAATATACTGATTATTAGTATATATCAGATATATCAATAGTACTAAATATAATACTAATAATAGTAATAACCATACTAATAATATTAATGATATTGATATAAGATACATTTTTTTGTACTTCAGCGGAACCAGGCCACCAGCTCGGTGGATGCCAAGACTGACAGCGCCGTGCAGCGCTGCTTGCGTGAGGCGGTGGCGTTCCTTGGCGCGGCGAGGTTTCCCCAAAATGGCATGGTAATAGATGTTGATATCTCCATTGGGCTTCAAAAGATGGGAAATTTTGACATCTCTGAATTCTGAATCATGAAAATCTAGGAAAAGATGCGCCAAGATGTGGATTTACCAGCAAGAATGGTGGATTTGATGGATAAATGAGCTAAATGTTGATTGGATATGAAGTTTCTTGGGATTCATGTCGAGGAATACGATGGATTTGGGTGCCACCGGAAAACGGAGGAATGTTGAGTCCATCATTTGACGCCGACAAGACTGGATGGTTTGATGGTAGCCAATTGGTCAATCCCAAAAAGTGCAACCCAAACCGTCATGTATCCATGCTGACCGTAAGCGCACCTCCCCGACCTGAAGACCATGGAGTTCGGATCCACAGGCCAATGGACTGAGTGACTGAGACCATACTGAGACATCTGAGACCTTTTTTCAGGAACTTTGACGTCAGTTTGCTGACCATTGCGCACCGCCTTGTGACTATTGCTGACTATGACAAGGTGCCGGGCCAGCGGGGAATAGGGAGAGGTCAGAGAAGCCGCAGAAATTGTTGAGACAGTTGAAGCACCAGACATTTCATACCAAGCTCGATCTCGGGAGGTCACAGGTGGAGCCAATCTTGTGTTAGGCTATACATGGCCATATATATATATATTATATATGGCTATATGATGCTATATGAACTTTCAGGCAGGTGCCGTTGGCGCAGGTCATGTTGCTTGAAGCTGGTCGAATGAAGGAGTTCGATTCACCGAGGAGCGATGGTTGTTTTTTTTCCGTGGTCAAGCAGTTGTGGCAGTTGTGGAAGCCAAACAAAATTTTTGACACAGAGGATGCTTTTAAACAAGACTACATGGATACTGCATGGATACTACATAGTCTGAAACAGTGGAATTGTGGGATTTGAGATAGACACTGCAGCGGCAACAAGCACGACCAAACCTGTGCAGTAATAGTGTAGGATTTGTGCATCTCATTCACGGTCCCGCTCCAGAGATGCTTTCGGCTCTGACACCTGCAGGAACTTGATTTCAGATGAGAACTCTGCCTTCTCCCAATTGGTAGAGAGTCTCTCAGCGAGGAATGCAGCTGCTTTACCATATGTGCTCGCTGTGTAGTGGAAGGGACTTGATTATATATATATATATGTACATATATATATATATATATATATGAATTGCTTTCATGGGTACGGTTTCGATCAATATCTTAACCAAGTATGCACTGTTACGTGAATACTTTGCCCAATTTACACGGCTGCAGCTTCCAGTTTGATAATTTTCGTTCAACTGCAGTATTCATGGGATACTGCTCTCAAGGTATGGGCCAAAGAGAGGCGGCTGCGATCCGACGACTCGCCGCACACTGACAGAAGCATTGGGACTGGACCCTGAAATCAGTCCTGGAAGCACCCTTCCATGTGCTGCATGATAGATAGAAATGCTTTGTGAGATGGTTGAAGTCAGGCGTGACACAACAACCTTTATATAGTTGAGAGTACTGGAAGCTTGTGGAAGCCTCCAACCAAGGCATCCTCAAGCGCAAGCTTTGCAACCTTCATATCTTTGTGAGTGTCCAGAGATGTACAGAGCGATTTTTGGTCGTTGGCCTTAAGCCACAACTGGTATAGACTTTTTGAACCCTAGCATTTCTGAGTTGAGCCGTCAGGGCTAAGAAAACGATAGGCAAGTCTGTGGATAAGCATCGCAGAAGCTGGGACATTCAAAGACGGAAAGAGTTTGTTTAGAAATGCTTTGAACTCTCTTGAACTCATGAGTGAACCAAGTTCAGATCAGGTCCAGCCCAGCATGAAAAGATAGCTGTTTGACTTCGTGGTCACTCAAAGACAGTTTCTGAAGCACGAATCAGTTGAGATGCCATTTTCAGAGTGCCAGGAAAACTCGAAGTTGGATTGTGAAAAGCACATCCTTTCGGCTCCCAAAAGCCCAAGATCGAAATTCAGTGTTTTGAAGAGAGTAAAATCAACTTGCTTTATGTTCCACTGGGATTTTGGGCTGCAAAAACCATGAAATGTTGCACATGTTGCACATGTTGCGAGCCCTCAAAGGGCAATGCCACTGCTCCATGTCTCATGGTTGTGGGGAAATCATGGGAAATGTATGGAAATGTCCAAGTGTCCAGTTTCATCCAGTTTCCTAATCCTCAGATGAAACATGTTGTTGCCGAGCTGTGGTGTACCACTGCGAAGTTTGCGCAATTTTCAGCCTCCCGTGTTGTGTGCCCGATGCGTTGCGTGCATGTGGACCTCATGGACGCTTCTGCGCAAAAAGTGGCTGACAGTTCAGCAGGATGACCGTTGGTCACATGACAGTTCAGGGGTATGTTTAGTGTCTACTACATTTCCAGAAGGGGTGTGGAGCAAGAAATGCTTTTCCCAAACACTTGGTCGGAACCCCACAAGTTCATACCACAGCTGGCACCAGTTGTTGCTTCAATAGTTGACCGTTCTCGCCATAAAATCATTTGACCCCCCAACGTTGCATTGTGTTCTTCCCAAACATGACAGTCATGACATGTCATTTGCTAAGTTTCTCCCTGTTTCTCCATGTTTCTCCCAAGTTTGAGCTGCACCCTCCACAAACCTTCTGAGGCCTAGATCACTTGGGCATCCACCGGGTACGACTGCCGGGCTCTCTTTCGGAATTCCAGGGTGGAACCAATGGACCGAAAGGACCCACAAAATCAGCATGGATCACTGGATCGCATTATTGATTCATTTGATTCTAGTTTTGAGTATTCAACAATTATTCAGCATATTCAACGAGGATCAATATGGCCAATATGGATAATTATTGAGCCATACCCATTGGACTAGCATTTTGATGATCAGCTTTGAATCTCAAACGAACAAATGCAAAACTTGTGGGACTCTGGTGACTGTGGTGCCGTTACGGATCTGAGGTTGTTCCTATGTGCGGGGGCACCATTTGCACTCGGGTTCCAGGTTCCTTCCATGAACTGATGGGTTTGAACAGCGGCAGATGGGTCTGGATTCACACCTATCCAGGCCCTTTCTTGTTTGATATTAGATGATAAATATATGACAGGTATTTGATATTCATTGAGATCCATGTTGAAATTTTGCTAAGGAAACTCCCTGCAGCAATCTACATATTCCATCCAAGCCCGAAGTTGGGCTCTGGACCCACAGCATTCCAAGAGATCATCAAAAATCTCCGCTGGAAGGCAAGATATCCTCATCGGAGTCATGGACGCTTAGCCTGGGCCTTTGATTGGCGATGGCTCATTTTCTTGGCTCTGAGGCTTTCGATTTCAGGGCTGAAGACAGAAAAGAATCCTGATGTGTTTTCAGTCTTTTCATAAGGAATCTATCTCTTCGACTCTTCGGCTTGCCATTTCTCCGCAATTCTCTCATTTTCCAGTTATAGGTTGTAACACATAAGCCATATGACAACTGGCTCGGTTTCGCATTTTGAAAATCTTCTACTTCATTCCTGCGGGGATCTTCTTTCATTTCATGATCGAATGTCAGCTAGGCTATATATGCAATATATGATTGTTTCTTAGTGGTTTTCAAATGACAAAAAGATACAAAAAGTGTTTGCATCGAACTTGGAGCCAGGTGGGTTGCTCATCCTGGGTCTCACCCAGTGACTGTCCATCTGCGAAGTTCATGTATCAAGTGGGCGCAGGCCAGATCCGCATCCGCCAGATTCGTCCTGTGCAGCATTGCCCAGTCATTGCCCATCTGCCAGGCCTTCCGTCCAGCCTCTTGGCATCGTTGGCAGATGCTATGGCTTGGGCCTCACCAATCCAAGCAGCACACATCTTGACCTTGCTAGAGCCTGAATTAGGCAGTAGGCTGAATTGTTGAAGTCATGCAATTAACATGATCATAAATACAACTAAATGATACAAAATGATACAAAATGTATCATAATAGTGGTTTGGTCGTTAACCATAACATTGAATTCTCTAGAAGTGAATCCCTTCCCCAGTAACCCCCAGGTGGGCTGGACACGGTCGATGCCAAGCTCTTCGTCTGGATACTCCAACTGGGCCTTCACATCTTTCTTGCCCTCCTCGTCCATGTGGGGGTAACCCGGTTGGCTGAGCTGAACGGAGGGGTACTGGCCGTCCAAAAAATGATTGGAATCATCCAAAGACATTTTTAAAAAAATACGTTGTTTGGTTGGAATCTAGATGAATCTACCAACTTTATCCAGCTTTGGGGAAGTGTGAAGGTGTGTGAAAATGTGTGAAATGTATTGAAATGTCAACAAAAACCGTGAGGACAAGTCAGGACACGCGCCGTCGGACGGGTCTAAGGCGCCTTTCGCAGCCAGCGGAGGTCAAAGTTGCTGGGAGCTGAGTGGAGCCTCTATAGACCGCGGCGGCAGATGCATTGGATCATGGTTTATCAATGAATATCAATGAATATCACATGTATAATAGATGCATATCATGTATAACAATGTATAACAGAGATAGCAACGGAAAGAAGATATTGGGAAGTGCCTTCAGTCTAGTGTCCAGAAGATCATGTTTGATCAGTTCCTGGGATGTGAATTGACCCCACCAAGTCTCTGAGCAGGGCTCAGTCGTCATGAGGTACCCGTCCTGGAGCAAAAGGCTTGCGCCGACAGTCAGGCGATTAGCCAGTTCGGTGGGATACCCGGGCCTCTGAGGGTCCTAAACCAATCTGTTCTACTTGATCTATTTGCTTGGGCGTAGTGAGCTATAGGTATTGATGGATATTGATGGTTGATATAGCGCATTCCTGCCTTCGAATCATTGCATCATCAAGTCTTCTCCATGTAAAGGCTTTCTCCAACTTCGTAGAGAGGATCCCTTATCATTGATCAGCTTTGCCTCAAATCTTCACATCAAGCTTACCACTGCATGTCATCCCTATGCAGCCCAGGGCTACCACCAAGATGTATCAAGGCAACAAAGATGTCTCTACATCACCCAGCCGACCCAGATCGACCCAGCGTGCAGGCTGAAGTGGACATTTTAATGGAGCGCTGTGCTTCACTGCTGATGGAGCAGGTGAGCCTGTTGTTGGAAGCAGTTCCCAATGATCCCAACATAGCGAGTTTCTATGTCCCGACGCAAATGGATGCTCTACAGACTTAACCGACTTGACCGACTTCACCCCAACTGGGCCAGGAGACTGGTGGCGAGGGCCCTGATGCTGCAACTCTGGTGCGCAAAGGGGGATGTGAAACAAGACACACCGGGGGAGGCAAACAGTGGGAATATGTGGGAATATCATGGTCCAAGGTTCCTGACCACGGCCCAGGTGGAAAGTGCCAAAGCATGGGGTGTGGACTATCGACGTCTTGGATGCTCCATGGTAGGAAGTCCCAGTGTCCAAGTTCTATCCTCACTACTGTTGGTATATCAATCAAGTGTCATTAAGTATCATGGTTTTACTATGGAGCATGATCATTATCTACATACTTATGTAACAGATAACAATGTACATCAAATATCATTTGGTATCGTTATTCTATAAACATCTTAGACATACTTATAATCATATAATATATATATATATATTATCGTTCTATATCAATATATGTTTATGTGTTTTTATCAATGTATGCCAATTGTCAGTATTTTTTCCCAGGTCCTCCTGCATGGAGATGCCGATGTTACGGTGTGCCTTGTACGGTACCGTTAGTCGATGAGCAATTGAGTCATCAGAAAGATGGGAAAAAAGATGTAAAAAGAGGATGGGATCAAGAAACAGAAGTAACACTTCAATTTCATTTTATACTGTATAAAATACTGATGGGACATATCATTGGAAACGTAAGGGATAGCAATAGTACAATTGCAGTGCAATCGAGCCTTGAATTGGCGTTGAACTTTGTCAACCAAGGCCTGTAGATTGCGTGGAGTGGTTGCAGGCCAGGCGCAGAGGTTAGCCAAATTCCACTCACAAAAGGGGGGGACCCGATGGGACCCATGACCCCGGGACCATGTGTAGTTTTATGCCTAGAACTCAATGCGATCCAATGGAATTCCATTTGTTAGATCATGTTGGATCGTTGATTGTGTCAATGGACAATTTGCTGTGGAGCAACCGAAATTCCGAGAGTTCTATGACAATTTCTACGCAAAAATCCGTTATTATGGACTATGAATTTTGAAGTTTTGGTTTGAGGGGAATGTCCTTCAATCCATGTGTGCTCCTAGACTCCTAGTTTCATATTGTTGGAGCCTTCAATGGGTTTAGATCTTCAGCGCGGCTGTTAGTCAGAAATCATACATTTGACCATGTCTCCGACTGAACAGTGCAGAAAGTTGGAAATTTAAAAGCCAGCGGTTTTGATGGGTCTTATGCTGCACCCCCAAAAATTGATGATGAGCTATGAACGCTCAAAATCAAGTGTTTCCATGGATGGTATTATAGCTATATCGGCATCTTTAGGAGCCCGATTTTTCTAGGATACATCTTGAGTTTCCAGCCTTTTCAGATACCAAGATTGCACTTTTTTCCTGGAGGAACAGATCCCCAAGACGGTGCTGCATCGCATCCCGGACGCTGAACACGGTCCGGCAACCTGTGGCCGGCTGGGGAAGGGGCACCGAATGGGATTTTTTTTAAGGATTTGTCTCAACTAGGGAAATGATAATAAACCATGGGACTTGCAGAAAAATGGGAATTGGGGTCAAAAATTTGATACAACATGATTATCATGAGATTATCATAGATTATCATTGTTTATCCTGATTGTTCATCAACTCAGTTTCACATCCACCATCCTACAACCTGCCATCTGAGAGTCTTGAGGCGAAGCAATGCTCTTGAGCATCTCCGTAGCCCTGCGGGTGAGCAGCTGATGGGCCTGGGAAGCTCGTGACAAGATGTGACAAGATGTGACAAGACGTGCCAAGGTTCCAAAACTGAGGACCTCTGAGGACCTCCTTTTCTCATCTTTTCTCCATGGATAAACCATGCTTTCATCATGCTTCATCTATCGTCAAAGTGTCGCCTGGCTGGCCTTGGTCGTTTTACGAAGCGCTTTGATTCTTCACTGCAGCCGTTCAGAATCGTTCGGAATTGCATGGGATTTTCCCATGGCGATTTTCCATGCCATTCCCATGCCCATGTCATGGCGGAAAGAGAACCGGCTCGTGAGATCTTGGTAGCGTTGGATGTTGCTTGGTTTGATCTCGTATTGTCACGGTATTGTCTCCTGTGGTGTTGGTTTTCGATGGTTTCCGTGTTTTTAATGGCCATGCAATTGAAGGCCACGGATTGATCAGTTTCATTGGAGTTCCTCATTGTGCGGAACATGCTCTGATCGGTTTGGTTTCTGTGTTCGTTGGTCTACCGTCTTCGAGTCACCTTTGAAAAGCAATCCTCAGCAGCAAGTGATGTGCATCCAGGCACCTCGTGTGCAGCCCAACCTTTTTCAGTTCAGTGCTGAAGCCTCCAAGTTGGCCAAAAAGGGTGCTTGGATCACCGTTCTACATATCCTCAAGAGATTCTTGCACGAGAGTTTGATGGTTGGAGATTGGAGAAAGATCATCATGGGTTAAGATTGGCTAAGAAATATTGCCTTTTCCGGTATAGATGTTTTATGATGTTTTATGCGTTGAAATTTCTAAAGAATCGGAGTTCACCAAGCATCGATGCTTTCCACATCTTTCTACAACCACCTAAGGATTACCAAGACGTCAACTCTACCCTGACACCATTCTGTACAGCACCGCGGTGAGTGCGTGTGAAAAGGCGGGTGAGTGGAGAACGGCATTGGCACTTTTGGAAGAGATGGAGGAGAAAAGTGTGGAGGTGCGCCACGCCAGTGATCTTTCAATGGAAATGATCGGAAGACCCAAACGGGTAGCCAAAGTAGATAGTCGCAGGCATATACAAATGGATGTTACCATTTATATACTGGAAACGGGGCGGGACTCGTTGGATCCTGTTTGTCTCAAAGTTTGGGATCTGAGAAATCAAAGGTTTGCTGTACCATTGCATTGCGAATGACCTGAAGGCCAATGCATTTACATTCAGCTCGGCCATCAAAGCTTGTGAACGACAAGGCTGTTGGGAGGCTGTTTCCAAGCTGTTGCTCCACATGGCGAATGGAAACGTTCAAGGCAACAGCTATACATTCAACGCTGCCATTGGCACCTTTGGCAAAGCGCAAATGTGGCTCATGGCGTTGTCCTTGGCCAAAGAGATGACCATCCAACAGATTCAGTCAGACATGATAACTGGCAGCACCTTGGTTGGAAGTTTGGAACCTTGGCCGAACTCTGGAAGGGCTAGTTTTTCTGACGAAGCTTGCCAAAGTTTCGGGGTCGATGTGCCATGGCAATCAAGTCATCCAAGTAGCAGGAGCACACATTTGCAACACAAGGGTCCTTGCCAAAATCAAGACAAGCAACAAAAAGATCACCACCAGTGCTGTTGAGGAGGGTGCCCAGTGGCCCAAAGCTTTGCAAGCCTTTGATCTTCTAGCTGCGTCGCAAGTTCCACGCAATGCACCTTGGACAAATGCACGGATCTTTGGATGGGGCTGGTTGCGGCATCAAAATCAGGGGATGTGGGCAGCATAAATACCTACGGAGGTGCATAGCACCAATGGAAGTGAACGTCGTCATCACCAAGTGGAAAAGAAAAGGTGGCCTTAGGCGGTTGAAACATTCACCAATGCCAATATCTGCATCAGACGAACAGCAAGAGGGTGCTGTCAAGAATTGCGAGCCTCAATGTTTCTATCTGATTTAGGAGCCCCTGGTCCGCATATCCAGCACCATTGACAACGTTTGCTAGCGTCCATATGAAACCAAGACGGGTTTCTTGCTCAAAGAACTTTTGGAATTGCAGGTGTTTATCATCATTGTAGACAAATATATACGTATATACGCATGTATATATATAATATATATATATATATTGTGAATCGCCAAATGCATGTGCCTTGATGTGACTCCAGTTAACTCCAGGATGGATCTCATATAACCTCCATGGGGCCCCTTTTGGTTCAGGCCGTGGTGGGAGGGTTTGTGGACTTCGCTGTAGGATCGGCGATGGAGCCTTGAGCGGTGAGTCAAAACAACAGCTGCGCATTCTCTTGGTGTGGGACACCAATTCATTTCACTTTGATCGACAGGGTCATCATTCACTTGGTTTGACAGGGTTCATTCAACATTGATTTTCCTGACAGGGTCAGATTGCTTGATTGGTTGTATCCTCCGCTACCAATTTACATTGGTAGCGGAGCCTAGTGCTCCAGCTGCCTTGGTGGACATCAGGGACGTCCGTTTTCCTTTGGCAACTGTAAGAGTGGTGATTCAGGGAGGCCGAGCCCTTTTTGGATTTGTGTGCAGTTACAACAGTTTTGAGAATGCCACTGCCTCAGGAGTCAGATTTGCCTCCTGTGCCGGATGATGAAGCTCCGACTCAGGTCAGCACTCAGCTGCCTTGGAGTCAAATCCCAAAGTTCGTCCCAGGGACGACAAATGTCCAGGAGTATACGCAGAAGCTCAAGTTCCTTGCGGCCTTGTGGCCTACGGATTTCCTGGATCAATTAGCTCCTAGAGCTGCGTTGTTGGTGGAGGGTACGGCGTTCAAAAAGATTGCCCGTATCCCACCTCAGAAGTTGAAGGTGAAATCGACTGATGGCATTGCAGCCATCGTGGAGGCGATCGGAGGTTCTTGGGGCTCCACGGAACTTGAAGAGAGGTACGAGTTCTTTGAGAAGTCATTGTACGGAACAGTTCAACGCAATGACGAGTCCCACGACAGTTTTTTGTCAAGGATGGAAGCCAATTTTGTTGAGCTCATTGCTCGCAACACAACACTGGAAGAGGTCCAGGCCTATGTTCTTTTGCGTCAATCGACGCTCAGTGCAGATGACAAGAAGCGCATCCTGCTTGAACACGGTGGAGAGCTCAAGTACGGGCCGGTAGTCAAAGCTTTCAGGTTGCTGGGTAGTCGATTTTTCAATGAATTTCAGACTGGTCGCAGTAGTCAGAAGAACAAGGTTTATGATGTCAACGTTTCAGAAGCCGATCAACATGAACATCATGCCACAGTCGAGACTGGTCACCATGAGAGAGCCTTTTTCACTCATGCAGACGAACATGAAGTTGAATTGGAACCAGATTTCATTGAAGCACTGATTGCTCAGGATGATGCCGATGCTTTGACAGTTTCGACTTTCGAAGGAGAGTTTGAAGAGTTCTTGCAAGAGACACCCGAAATGTACGAAGCACTCACATCGTACATAGAAGCCCGTTCCAAGTTAGTGGAAAAGAGAAAGAGCCGTGGTTTCTGGCCTGTGAAAGGAAAAGGCAAGTCTTTCAAGGGTCGTGGCAAAAGCTTTGGCAAGAGGTCAAAGGATCGGGAAGCGCTGTTACAGCGTATTTCAAAGAGCCATTGCCGACGTTGCGGCGCCTTGGGTCATTGGAAAGCCGAGTGTCCTCAGGCTTCCCAAACTGAAAAGTCAGCCATGCCTTCGTCCTCCGCCACTGCTCATGTTGTGATCGATGAGAGGCCTCAAGAGATTTTCCAAGCCTCGACCGATACCGATGAAGTGATTTCCGAAGATGAGTATGAACTTCCATCTGTCGAAGCCAGTCCGCACCCAGTTGTTGCCGAAGAATCATGTTTTGTCCTTAACCATGAAAATCGTGCAGCCGGGGTTGCAAAGTTAAGCCGTAGGATGTTTGAGTTCAACATGACTAGACAGAAGTTCAACACTGTCCCGAATGCATCCGCATCCATGACATGCTCACGATTGCTGCCCAGGAAATGTCCGAACGATGAGGAGTCCCACCATGCCACAGTTCAGTCGAAGTGCCGACCGTTTGCCGGGTCTTGCTCAGCCGAATCTGTATATAGCAGTTTGGAAGACTTCTGTACACATGCCATTTTGGACACAGGAGCCAGTCGCTGCATCATTGGAGACAAAACACTCCATCGCCTCAAGCAGTCGTTGCCAGAATGCATCCGATCCCAAATTCGTCAAAAGGCGAGTTCCGTGAAGTTCAGATTTGGAAATAATCAATCTCTTACCAGTATGTATGCGGTGCAACTACCTCTGAAGCATGCTCATGGTAGGAAATTGTGGTTGTCAGTTGAAGTTGTACGTGGTTTGACACCGTTTTTATTTTCAAAGAAAGCTTTCAAGATGTTACAGGGATCGTTGGATACACGAACTGACCAGTGTGTTTTGTCCAAAGTTCAAGACAAGCCCATCCAGCTGCAAACGAGTCCCACTGGATTGTATCTCATCGATATGTTGGACATTTGCCAAGGAGATGCCACAGCGTTCACACATGCGGAAGCCAAGCAGTGTTCTTCCGACCGTTCTCATCCACAATTCGGGGTAAGCTGTTCTAATGGGGATAAGTTAGAACTTTCAAAAAGTAAACAGTTTCTGGGTTCAGTTGTAGGGGTATCTCAACTGATGCAAGACTCAACCACCTCTGACAAGAGATTTTTGCGAGTCCGAGACTTTCGCTCAAAGAACCAGGTGACAACGTTCCCACAGCATTCGACCGCTGTTTGTCATCATGCCGCCAATGGTCAGTGCACTCAAGACCATTGCCGAAGCCCTGATCCGGCTTCTCACCATGCTGTTGCAGATCCTAGTGCAACAACTCGAGAAGCAGGAGATCCTCGCCGAGATGGAGATCGAGAACGAGCCGGAGGCCCATGCTCACCTTCAGGACATGATGCGCCAGATTCAACAACAAGGCGCCACACTGGAAGCCCTCCGCGAGGAGGTGGAAGTGCGAAAGAAAACACCAGAAAGGAAGGTGAGACCTCAACCAGCAGTAGCCCCAATGAGTGTAGCCTCAATGACCTCCGGAAGTTCCACTCCGTTGTCCAGGCCACAGATTCCCAATGTCAGTCAGCGGAAGAGTCGGGCACCGTCCGTCGTTTCTCAAGCTGCAAGCTGGCAAGAGATCGAAGCCGAGGAGGAGACCATTTTGGTCCAAGAGATGGCCCTTTCCGTTCCTGTGGAATTGAACCAAAGCCGGACCTCGGTGCCGCCTGCACCAACCTTGCCATTGCCCAGAAACCTGACGATCTCAGAGTGGGGTGCCAACCTGATTACCTTTGGCAGAAAACACAAGGGGAAGACCTTCTCAGAAGTGATGGAGAAGGATCCCGGATATCTGCAATGGAGCTTGGCCCGCTACGGGTCCCTCATGCCGGAGCATCAAGATTTCTGCCGCTTCGGACAGCTCTGGTTGACACACAATCCCAACGAGATCTAAACGGACGAGACGCTGAACCTGCTCTACTGAGCGAGTCTGAAGGCTTCCGTGCTGACGTTCAGGCCACAAGAGACATGCTGAAACAGCCAACCAAATTTCAGAACAAGCCACAAATCCATGACCAAATTGAACAAACCATTTTCAATATGGAAGATTTACTTTTCACGGAAATTTCCAACAAGACCGCACATCAAAGAATATTTCTACTTGAAGTTTATGCCAATCAACATAGTCCTCTGACCGAAGCAGTTCAGAGAATGGGTCTTAAAGCTCTTAGGTTCACCAAGGAGGATGGAGACCTAGCCACATTTGCAGGCCGTCAAAAGCTCTGGGATGTCATAGAGAAGTATCAGCCGGAACACATTTGGATGGCTCCTGAGTGTGGCCCCTGGGGTGGCTGGAATCATTTGAACAAGTTCAAGAGTGTTCAACTGTATGATGCCATCCAAGCCAAGCAAGATTCCCAGCTCCCCCATGTCCGATTGTGTGCCAAAATTTGCAGGTTTCAAGTTCGAAATGGCCGCCATTTTCATTTAGAGCAGCCTGCTGGATCTGGTCTCCCTCACTTGAAGATTTTTGAATCCTTGCGTCAGGAGACAGCCACAGCCCGCTTTGATATGTGTCGTTTTGGTTTGCGCATCCCAAAGACCAACAAATACCTCCGCAAACGAAGTGTGTTGCTCACTTCTTCACAACAGATGTTTCATGCTGTTCATGATCAGAGATGCACAAATCAACATGACCACCAAAACATTGAAGGGAGCATTTCCATCAACGGCGATAGGCAAAGACTCACAAGCTTTTGCGCCACTTATTGCCGTGGTTTTGCCGACATGATGGCCAGAAACCTTTGCAATAACCATCACACTCATGTAGGATCTGATGAGCATGCCATGGCATATCATGCAGATGGAGAAGAAGAAAACCTGGAGAGACCAGCCAAAAGAATCCGCAGTGATCAGAGCCGTTTCAAAAGACGTAGAATCTCTCAGGTTCCCCCAGTTGATACGAACAAAGTTGCAGTGCTTGACATTCCAATTTCTGGCCATGAATCTGTGGATCCGAATCCTGAGACAAACGTCTCTGGACCCATAGCTCCTGTGCCTTCCAGGTCCGAACCATGGAAGAATGTCCTGGATGCTGCCAGATCGTTTGCTCCCCGTGTCGGCAATGCCAGATGTCCGACAGATTCGCCAGCTTGGCAACTAGCTCAGGAAATCTTGCAGGGATCTCTCAAACTGTCAGACATGTTTGTATGCAGGGGTACCGAAAGGTATCAAGTTCCCCTCTTAGCACCACCGTCACACCAGTTTCCCTTGAGATACACCGTGTCCATTCACCGAGAAACTTCCGAAATCCATGATCTGGGTTTGGAGAATTGGCATAGCTGTACTAGGGCTCAAAGGATACGTAAGAGCATACCCAGCCATCTGACGATCACAATGTTCGGCAGTTTGCCAAATTCCGAATCTGTGCCAATGAATGTTCGTGACCTTAGTCTTGGTGACAATGGCCCGACCGACGAGCCAGAATCTGCAGTGCGGGCGACTGGAAGCCAAAATCTTCCACTAGCTGTGCACGAACGTTCCAGCAGCCAAGCATGTGAAGGTTGGGCACCACCACCAGTGCCTCTGCATGGCCCAAAGTTCCGTTTATTGCAACCTCAGGAGAAACAAGACCTGATAAAGCTTCATAAGAATTTAGGCCATCCAGACCCACATGTGCTTTCACAACACCTCAAGATGGCAGGAGCCTCTGAACAAATTGTAGAAGCTGCCAAAGAGTACATATGTGACGCATGCGTAGAGACCACCAGGTTTAGCCATCAAAGACCCGCCAAACTCCATGAACCTAAGGAATTCAATGAACTCTTAGGGATTGATGGTTTCTTCTGGACTGGAAAAAAGGGTTTTCAAGTCATGATTTTCCATTGCATTGATGAAGCTTCCTTGTTCCACTTAGGACGCCGTTTGGACAACCGACACTTGGAACATGTTATCCCTGCGTTCAATGATATGTGGATGTCTTGGGCTGGACAACCTTCCGGAATTTATTCCGATCCCGCAGGAGAATTTCGTGCGGATGCATGGCTCACCTTTTTGCAAAGGCAAAGCATTGAACCACGCCTCTCAACCGAGGCTTGGCAAAAGGGCAGAATCGAAAGACACGGGCAGATTGTCAAAAACATGCTTCATCGCTATGATCAGGAGAAAACCATTGAAGATGTTCAGGAATTTGATACGGTTCTTCGAGCCTGCTTCCAAGCCAAAAATGCCTTGTCCCGTCAGGATGGTTTTTCGCCAGAACAGATAGTACTGGGTAAATCCCCTAAAGTCACTGCTTCCTTAACTTCTGATGAACAAGTGGCGTCACACAGTTTGGCCGATGGTTCTGATCTGGACTGCGAAAAGTTTCGACGGAATCTGGAGGTTCGCACTCGAGCCAGAAAAATGTTCCTGCTTGCGGATAATGATGCAGCCATCCGAAGAGCACTCCTCAGAAAGTCATGTCCACCAGTTGATGCGTATACCATAGGTCAACATGTTATGTACTGGAAAAAGAAAAATACCTTTGGTCGTCGTGAAGTTGGACGTTGGCATGGGCCCGCCAGGATTGTTTGTCGTGATGGTTCAACTACCATGTGGATTGCTCACGGAGACAAGCTGCTGCGTTGTGCTCCGGAAAACTTGCGTCCAGCGTCGTTGCGAGAATGGAATAGTGCCTCAGTTTCCTTAGATCAGCAGGTCCAAGATTTAAGCCATCTCAGAGATGTTCAGAATCCGGAAGTGCCTCACGGAACAAATCCCCCGGGGAATCAAGAGGAGGAGATGTACTCACCCGGTAGTTTTGCTTCAGAACCTGCCTTGCCCGTCAGTAATCAATCCAGCGTCCAACCCGAGAGTGAGCTATTTCCAGAGCCACCAACAAATCCTTTAAATACCCCCACTAACGGTCCTCAAGATAATCCCAATGAAAGTAACCCCCATCAATCGGAAATCAATGATAACCATAACGATAATGCCATTGACCTTGATGCCTCTGAAAGCCAGGAAGATGACTTGAATCCCATGCGGATGTTCTCACATGCCATGATGTTTGTCATCTTGAAACTGATACAACCTTACATGAATGGAATGTTTTTCATGCTGGAACCCAAAGCAATCAGATTTGTCTTGCGGATGATGGAATGCCATACATTGAGAATCCTCCAGAACCTCTGGAACATCAGTGTTTCATGCTGGAAATTCCCATGTCACGTCAAGATGTGTTGAAATGGTCCCATGCTGAACATCCGGAGGAACTTGCCCAGATTGCCTCTGCTGGGAAGAGGGCACGTGCTGAAGTTCAGGTCAAGGATCTGACTCAGGCTGACCGAAAGCTGTTTGAAGCCGCCAAGGATGCTGAACTTTCTTGCTGGCTCCAGACCAGTGCACTTAAGCCTGTGTTAAGAAAACACCTGAATCCTGAGCAAATCCTGAAGTCAAGATGGGTTCTCACTTGGAAAAATATTTCTGAAAATGAAACAACAAACGGGTCAGGAAGAAAAGCTAAGGCTAGATTGGTTGTATTGGGGTACCAAGATCCACGGTTAACCGAAGTAAGTAGAGATGCTCCAACACTCACGCGAGAAGGTAGGCACACAGTCTTACAACTTATTTCATCCATGCACTGGGTTCTTACATCTTTTGATATCAAGACAGCATTTCTTCGTGGAAAAGCAGATCAAAATAACCCTTTGGCCATGGAACCCCCAAAAGAACTTCGCCAACGAATGCAACTCGATGATGATCAGGTGTGTGCCTTGATTGGAAATGCCTACGGTAGAGTTGACGCGCCATTACTATTCTACAAAGAACTTTCAAGTCAATTACAAAAGCTAGGTTTCAAGGTTCATCCACTGGAACCATGTGTGTATTATCTTGAGTCTTGGAAAAATGGACAACGTACTCTCCATGGAGTTCTGGGCACCCATGTCGATGATGGAATATGTGGCGGAGATGAATGGTTTCATCACCAAATTGAACAACTGCGTACAAGCTTGCCTTTTGGGTCTTATAAACAGAATAAATTTGTTTTCACGGGAATCCAACTTGAGCAATTGCCTGATTTCAGTATCCGAGCATGTCAAGAAGATTATGTGAACTCAATCATGCCTGTTGAAGTTGGTAAGCACAGAAGATCAAATCCTCAAGAACCAGTGTCAGAGACTGAGATGTCCCACTTACGCGGTTTAATTGGTAAACTCCAGTATGCCACGACGAACACTCGACCGGACGTGGCTGCCAAGCTTGGTGAAATCCAGGTACAGCTGTCAAAGCCTACAATCCAGACACTGTTGGAAGCAAACAAAGTACTTCGGGAAGCTCAACAAACTTGTGATGTCAGTATTTTCTTCAGATCAATCGATCCGAATCAACTGACCCACGTGGTATTTGGGGATGCTTCGTTTGCCAGTCCAAAACAATTATCATCCTTCCAAGGTACACTTGTGTTTGCAACATCCCCTCAATTACAACAAAACCAAACAGCACCTATCAGTCCCATTTCATGGTCATCAAAAAAGATCTCTAGAGTGGTCCGATCCACCTTGTCTGCAGAAGCTTTCAGCATGTCAAGGAGTGTTGATAAAATGAGCTGGTGCCGACTCTTGTGGGGCACACTGGTGATGCCCGAATTCCAATGGAGGAATCCTCCGGAAGCTTTCCGTCATATGCATGCGGCAGTGGTGGTGACTGATTGTAAATCCCTGTACGATTTGGTCAGTCGACGTGCAATGCCTTCTTGCGAAGAATATCGCACTACGTTGGAGGTCCTCCTTATAAAAGAAAGGTGTTTGGAACACTGTCATTTTAGATGGATCCCGACAGCATTGCAATTGGCCGATCCTTTGACCAAGAACATGGATGCCACCCTACTCCGAGCAGTTTTGAGACAAGGTTCCTTTCAACTGTTCGATGAAGATGCCAGCTTGCAGACGAACGCTCACAAGAAACAGGCAGTCCAGTGGATCCGTGAGTCACATCAAAAGAAGATTCTAGGGAGTGTGAATCGCCAAATGCATGTGCCTTGATGTGACTCCAGTTAACTCCAGGATGGATCTCATATAACCTCCATGGGGCCCCTTTTGGTTCAGGCCGTGGTGGGAGGGTTTGTGGACTTCGCTGTAGGATCGGCGATGGAGCCTTGAGCGGTGAGTCAAAACAACAGCTGCGCATTCTCTTGGTGTGGGACACCAATTCATTTCACTTTGATCGACAGGGTCATCATTCACTTGGTTTGACAGGGTTCATTCAACATTGATTTTCCTGACAGGGTCAGATTGCTTGATTGGTTGTATCCTCCGCTACCAATTTACAATATATATATATAATATATATATTATGGCATTTTGAGATGCACTGCTAAGAATCAACACGAGCATGCCGCCAGTGAATTCTTGGACCAGCCACGTGCTGTGGAGCACAGCATCCAAGGATTTCACCTGGAATTCGATGTGACTTGCACCAGGAATGAAGTTATGAAGCACTGCCAGCTGTTCATTGGTATTCATTGGTGGTGCATTCATATGTATTCATATGTATTCATTGGTTTATTAAGTAACAGTCACAGTTGTTAACACCCCACAAACACCATGTCGTTAATTGGAGCTTCGGGCTCGACGATTTGAAACGCTGCGATAACGCGGATGCGGCTCGGCAGATCCACTTCCAATGCCGTGCATCGGCTTGGATTTCATCCTGTTGTTATCCAACAACCATTCTTTGACCAAAAACGGACGAGGATGTCAACAAATCATCCTTAAGATTCCTTAAGCACAATAAGCACGGTTGGCTTTCTTCTCCCCAGTTCTAGCTGAAAGACAAGTCTACCAGAGGTCTCAGTCCATCCTTTTTTTCAAAATGGCCATGGATCAATGATCAAGACCTCAAATAACATGTTTAGGGATGTTTAGGGGGATGGTCATTTATTCACCAATTTGCATGTTCACCAGTGTTCACCAGGGGTACATGGTCTGGACATGTCTGGACCCATCCACAAATTGATCCAATCAACTGTGCCTTGCTCAGGATTTCTGCTTGTGAACAGACTTGGGGCGTGGCCCTTCAGCTTTTGCTGGCCATGTCCCAGCAACAGTGGCATCCCACGTCCATGTCCTTCTCTGCAGCCCTGAGCAGCTGGGCATGTTATGGATGTGGATGTTTTAGGGATTGTCATGAATCAGTAAGGACCCCAGTTTGTGCTTTGTTGTTTGTCAATGTTTCAAGAAGATAAACAGGGTTTCTGTCTGTAGCGACCCTTGGTTACCTTTGAAAGCTCGCCCATGAAACCGTGGCTCGGCACCGCTCGTGCCCACCGAGGTGCTTGTAATCACTGGCCACAGACGTTGGCCCTCCTGGAGACCATGGCACGGCAGCGGTTGCGAGTCACTGGGATACAGGCGTCGATTGGGTCATATTGGGTATTTAAAGATACTTAAAAGATCTTAAAAGGGGAAACATGATGATAAACCGATAAAACATTCAATTTTAGTGTACCCCATGTTCAGACTGATTTCGCCAGTGCTACCGGAATCTTGGACGTCCTTAGCAGCGCAGGTGGGTTCCGTACTGAATTGCATCAACATGGAGCTGGGAAAGCCACGAGCCATTGATGTCCTGAAGATGCCGCTGGGACAGAGCCCGCTGTAAAAAAATAGTCGGAACTTGTAGCTTTGCGGGATGAACAATGATGAAGCTCTGAAATCACACAGTTGGAGGCATCTTAAAGCCATGTTGGGAGGTTCACTACACAGGATGTTGATGGATGTTGATGATATGGCCAACTTTTGCTGAGGTTGATGGCCAACTGGGAAGGTGGCGATGATGATCAGGGCCTCAAGGAGCAGCCTTGGGAAGCTTGAAAGCGCAAGTATGTCTTTTGTCATGTTTGGGTGTCAGGTTATCAGTACAAACATGGAGTTTGACTTTGGGAGTCAAACAATTTTTGGATTGCATAGCGCTGCCAGCATCAATCAGCGAACCAGGAGCGCGTCTTTGTGCCACGAAGGCACATGGAAAACATAGAATTGCCTGCAGAGATCCTTTTCCAAGATGAATCATTGATCGCTTTAGCGAAGCCTGCTGGAAAGTCTTCCGAAGATTGTGCCTTTGCATCAAGGGTTCAGGATCCCGTAGATTTGCTGATTTTGCTGGAAATCAACGGTTGAACATATAGATGGTGAGATGGGATGGCGTTTCATGAGGTCTGCAGAGGTTGGCCAACTATCTGCAGCAGCCCTTGACGCGTCCTTGGGATTGAAGGGGACATAAGGGGACCAAGCTGTGGGCAAGCTGTGGGCAAGCTGTGGGCGACTGGAGCCAATTTCAGGATGGATTGATGCTTCAATCGATTTGATTCATTGTATATAAATAATTAGCCTTTACAATGACATTTGTCTCACTTGGGCATTTTGTCACATCATTCTTTGGACACTTTGACGCGGAAAGTGGCGCTTTGGGAACCAGATCTCGGCCTTGAGTCAGAACTAATGCCCCAAGACAAACGCATTCTGTGGGCGTCCAGGTTGTTCATGGTTGTTCTAGCTACCAAATATGGAAGGTCATACCGTCATGCGATTGTGGCTTCAAAGTGATAGAAATGAATAGATAGACATGAAACATCATGAAACATGACAAGAAACTCTGATTCAACATGGCCTCCATCATCTGAATCTTCCATCATTTTGCATCATTTGCCATCATGTTCCATCATGTTTACATCATCTTTACATCATCTTTACATCATGTTTACACATACATCATACCCAGGCCGCAAGGCCTTGAGGGCCCTGCCTCCTGAGGCCTGTCACGTTTGGATCTGCCAACCTCTGGGATTTTGGTCGCTGCCCGAGGTGATCAAACTGCTGCTGCGTTGCTTGGCCAACTGGGCGGAAGTGGATGTTTTCTGAAGGAGTAGCTGCTCTAACTGACCGTAAATAGACGTTAATTAATTGTCTGTGGTTACCACATTTTTTTAAACAAATAATATTCATAATATTTCATGATATATTATATAATCATATACTTGTATATATATATATTATATACACACATAGAATTTTGGTACTTATGGTATGGGTATAAAGTGTTGGCGTCATTCTCCAGTTACTAGCTGATAATAAGGGCATGAGGTCTGTCAATACCGATTGAACAACAGGAATGGGGGGAGAAGAAGATCCATTTCCCAGCCAGTTTGGTGTGAAAACCTTCGAGTTCATTTCCCCCCGTTTGGAAGCTCCAAGGTTTGGTCGGTGCCGGAAAAGACTTTTGATCACTTTCTGCATGGAAACTTTCCTGTGCCCATGCAATCAAAGAATCATAAAGAATCAATGAATATACGCTAGTCTGTCAAGCTATACCGATGACATCAGACGGACCAGACACGCGCTTTGCTTAAAAGCTGACTGCCCGTAGCGTGACAGGATTTGTTCTTTGGAGCTCCTCTAGAGATGCTCAAAACGCTGAGGTCATGGTGGTTTCTGGCGCAGTTTGCTGGTCGGATTGTGTCCAAAAAGTACTTATGTTTGGCGACTGGTGACGCGGGTCTTCCTGGGTACACTGAAGAGATCAAGCTGCCGCTACAGGTCTGGCCTTGCAACATGCTATGTGTATAGATGTATGCGGCACCCAACAGAATCCCTTCCCCCTATTACTAAACCCCCCCAAATTAATAAAATAAAAACTAGGGTCCGTCTCCAATGTTGGAAAATTTAAGGTTGGCCAATTTGATTTTTTATTGATCCCCTTTAGAAAACAATTTAAAAATGAAGCTATCATTTCAGGGTTTCGCCCCCTAATAATAAAAACTAGTCAGCCCCGGGGCGTTTTTTTTATTAGGGTCCGTGATTTAAGGTCGAAAAAAAAACATGTATTTTACATTAAGGTTTTTAATTTAATATTAGGGAGGAACTTTGAAATCCAATTTTTGGCAATATTTTAATTATAGATTTTAAAAGGAAATCTAATCGATTTTGAAATAGAAAAAATAGTTTCTTATATTAGGGTTTTTAATTTAGTGTTAGGGGGAACCCTATAATAGATACCTCCTAATAAAAACTACCTGATGTATTTATTATTTTGGGGGAGCGTTTAGTATTAGGGGGAAGGGATTAGTGTTTTAATTGCATAGATTGATGTCAATGCGTGGTTTTGAGATGCTGTTGTACTTTGTCAATTTCTTGGTGTTTTCTAACTGCTCTTTCTATGAGACTGCTCAAAGAGTTGATCAACAATAGCTCAAACTGCTCAAACGTGGATGGAACCTTCCTCTTGACCAAAATGTTGGCAGGTGATTGCGAAGGATGGTGTAAGCCGGGCGCGTGTGGCCGATGGGGCCGATGGGGCCGATGGGATGGCCGCACACACTCGTCGCCTGATGGGATGGGGAAATGATGGGAAATGTTCGGGCTGAGTTTGTCATCGTTTGTCATAGTTTGTCAGTGTTTTGTCGCAACTTCGGTGTAGAAATCTGTACATTTTTGCAGACTGAAGCTAGAAACTACGCCACTGTTTTTTGAAAGGTGTCCTCGGACATGCCTGGCTTGACAAGGTTTCACAGTGTTGGCCACCTTGACATCTTCGGATCAAAGCTTCTCCCTGCTCTTGGCAGAGCCGTTTACCGGAAGAACTCATCAAATCTGGGCACACTTGGCTCAGACACTTGGCCATATGAGAGTAGATTCATGTAGATTCATGTAGATTCATTAGATTCATTAGATATTGCTCCATATTGCTCCCAAGTGAATCAAGAGCTGATCCACCGCTGTGGTCCCACTAGTCCCACACCACCATTCCCATCCAATCTCAGCATTTCCCAGCCGCCAGGAGGGGCTTCCCACTACAAGGCGATGGCGCTTATGGCGCTGATGGGGGTGCGGGCAGAGGTCTCTTCCTCCATTGCTGGCAGATGGAACTCTTAGCCTTCGGTGGTACCGCAAATGAGGACCGGGTGGGGCAAGACAGAGGAATCTCTTTATTTTCTGGTGTGTTTTCAGTTTTTTCCCGTCGAATTTAAAGTTGAACTAAGTTGAACTATCTTGAATTGGTTGTTTTTGCTTGATTTTCGGAGCAAGACCAAGAGGAAACTGTTCCACAAAGGCATGAGCTGGCAGGTACAAGCAGGTACAAAACACTCATTTCCATTTTGAACATTGGGAGTTCATCGAGGGTTTATGGTTTGATCTAATTCAGTGTACCTCGGCCCCTTTTCTTTACATATTTTACATCCAACGGTGAATGTGACTGGAAACCACAGAAATTGTGGTCAAAGAAGGCGGAAGGCAACGGTCTGGCTGCTTGTTTGTCAATGCAGTCAGATCTTGAACCACTAGTGCCTGTGACCTAGGACATGTTGTCACTGCAAGCAGATCTTCCGCCCATCCTGAGTGATGAACTGCGGAAGTTGACCCTTTTGAGAGGTGAAATGCCAGAAAAAAACGGGCGATTGAAGCGCACTGCAGCACAACCCCTGACCAGCCAGTTGTTTTCGTTGATGCTTTGTGACAAGGGGCAGAAGCCATGTAGAATTGGAGCTAATTATATTGCAGCTATTTGCGCTATTTGCGGGAAGCGAAATTCCATTCAGATAATGAGATGCGATGAGATGCGGATATCATGACAAAGCAAGAACCGCGGTTGCAAAGTGTTATCGCTGCCAGTTGCTGATCCCTTCTTGCCGCAGCTGCGCAGAGGCCCTGCCGATCTTCCCGTGAATTGCCCAGGTTTCCCATTGATTCAAGGGAAAATACGGAAAAAACTGTATAGGGAAAGCCTAATACAATGTAGGGGGAACAAATGGTAGGAACCATGATTTCCTATCGATTTTCCATGATTTTCCCTTCAAACAATCCATTGAAGGTTTGGAGCTTGGAAGGATAAGACCTCCTCTGCCAGGCCTCTGATGTATGTCCCTTGGAAGTGATGAGCCTGTGAATCCTCTGATATGCTGGAAATCGATCGGATCGATAATTTTCAACACTCCAAGAATACCTGCAACACCCTGTAAGCGAAGACTTAGGTGATGGTTCATTGATCATCGATTTTCCACAATGCCCCTTTGCTCCTCCTTTCAGATGTCAATCTACACAGCTGCAGCACTGCCCAAATTCACAACTCGCAGAATAGCTCACAAGCAGATCTCTTCACTGCGAAGCAGGGAGAGAGATGCTTGCTTTGAACAGTGGCACTGAAATTAGCCAAAGAGAAAAAAGCGGAAAAGCTTCACGCAAGTTTGTGAGTCATGATCATGGTGATGGTGATGGTGGCGGTGATGCTGCTGATCAGAATCATGATGTGTTCATGATTGACAATGTCGCCCGCTAGAGTACATGGATTCAATTCAAACTGCCTGCAGCTTCAGGTTTTGTGATGGACAGGGAAGTGTTTCCGAGATGGAAATAAGATCAAAAATCAGTATGATTAAGTTTGCAAGCCCTGCTTGCTGTGCTTTCCACCAGTTCAAGGCAGCCTCTCTTTTAGATTCCGGTCGTTTTTGGCATATCTGCCTACTCTCAACTTAATGTCGCCGCCTTCGCCTCGCTGCGTCTTGCCTTGCGACCTTGCGCGCAAGCACGGTGCAATGCAACGCAACGACTCCAAGTCCGGCTTGTCACATTTTGTCACCTAGTCTCCCTGCGCAGGGCGGATCACTCTTGGATGCCTCAATGTCAGACTCCCACGGCGAGGTTCGGTGCAGACGTGCAGATGCAGATGTGATACGATGAGTTTGGAGCCAATTTTGTAACAGGAAGCTTCAGACGTTTCAGGTGGGATTGCTCTTGGTGGAAAAGGCAAAGCTCCTGACCACGTTGAAGCAGGACACGTGAACGTCTCGACGAGTTCTTATTTCGTAATATTCTAAACTGAAGGACTCCGTCTCAACGAGATTCGACGAGTTCTTTATCCGCTCTACCTGTATCATCCTGTATCCTCAATATGGGTTTCAGCAGCCATCATCCTCCCGCCCCATCACCAGATGCCATTCCATTTTCACCACCGGAAGGAAGATCTGGGTGAAGAAAGATGGATCGGTGAGGTGTCCATGGTGAAATTCTCAGCACAGAAGTCGAAAGTTACTTTTCCCAATCTCCCTCCAGCTCAAGGGTACGCGTCTCCCTCAAGAAAACTGGTGTTGCTTCAGATTGACCATAATTATACGGTTGGGGTTATATATATATATATGCATACATGTATAGACTGCCAGTCTTCTATTTTATCTCATATGGTGCCAGGATTAATCAATAATTTGATTTGTTGGAACTGCAAAGGCTGCATCGGAAAATCCATCGGTCCCGAGGCGCTGAGCCAGCAACGAGGCATTGAGCCAGCTACGTGGCACTGAGCCAGCAACGAGGGAATGGTGAATCTGTACTGTACGGGACTCCCGGGACCGATGGATTTTCCGATGCAGCCTTTGCAGTTCCAACAAATCAAATTATAGGACCGGATAACCCCACATGTTACCAACTTCTCTAGACTTAGACTGAGCATAGAAAAGCAAGAAGGGAAGAGGAAGTATAAGAGTGATGGAGGGGTGATGGTGGGTGAGTTTGTGTGTGTGTATGTATGTGCATGTACAGGTGAGTGAGTGAGAGTGTGAGTGAGTGATGTGAGTGTGGTGTGTGTGTGTGAGTGAGGGATGAGTGAGTGAGTGAGTGAGTGAGTGAGTGAGTGAGTGAGTGAGTGAGTGAGTGCACACACCACACTCACATCACTCACTCACACTCTCACTCACTCACCTGTACATGCACATACATACACACACACAAACTCACCCACCATCACCCCTCCATCACTCTTATACTTCCTCTTCCCTTGTTGCTTTTCTATGCTCAGTCTAAGTCTAGAGAAGTTTGTAACATGTGGGGTTATCCGGTCCTATATTTTCTTTTCGTTCAAAAAATTGAGCCAGCTACGAGGCGCTGAGCCAGCAACGAGGCATTGAGCCAGCTACGTGGCACTGAGCCAGCAACGAGGGAATGGTGAATCTGTACTGTACGGGACTCCCGGGACCGATGGATTTTGAACGGGAAAAAAAAACGCGACAAAATTGAGCCAGCTACATGCCCTTTAGCCAGCTCATCAGCTCGGTATGCCGTCATCATCCCGGCCAATACATATTATCTATTCGTTTCTTAGCTTTCACATTCGTTCGCCAGCTCAACGTGACGTAGCTGGCTCAATTTTTTCGAGATTTTTTTCGTTTTCCCCACATTGACATGTGGGTTTTTTGTTTTTAGTGCTGTATCCGCTCCGCCTTCTTCCTCCTCTTCCTCCGTCCTCCGTCCTCCCGTCCCTCCTCCCGCCTGTCACAGTCACACACACACTCACTCACTCACTCACTCACTCACTCACACACACACACTCACTCTCACACTCTCACTCTCACACTCACATACGCATATCATCCGCATGTAATCACATATATTACAAACTGCCTCTTGCACTCGGTACACATATCGTGAACACGCTACCAAAGTGACACACCTGTAATTATATGCACATACATACATACACACAAACTCACCCACCATCACCCCTCCATCACTCTCATACTTCCTCTTCCCTTGTTGCTTTTCTATGCTCAGTCTAAGTCTGGTGAAGTTGTTAACATGTGGGGTTATCCGGTCCGGTCGTATATTTTTTTTCGGTCAAAAAAAATTGAGCCAGCTCGATGCCATCGAGCTAGAGCGATGTGTTTGATCTAGCGCGTTGTTGCTGAGGTAGCTCGTTCCACTTGAGCGAGACCGCAAATTTTTCCCAATGTGTTCAATTGCCAGGTTCAGTCCCAAATGATTCGTTTAATAGAGATGGTACCCCTGTTACAGCCCAGAAATTTAGGAGCCACGTTTTGGGCCAAATCTGCTTAGACAGCGGCACAACATTAAAGTCAAACACATGACCACTTCTGAAATTGAGCCGGCTACATGTTTTGAGCTAACTCGAAAATGAGGAAGACTGTGGATTGCTACATTCATAGAAGGACAACGAGGCACCGCAAATACACACTTGCCAGCCATGTTTTTCAATCAAAGGAGGGTTTAAGCGACCAACGGAATGGTGTATAGGTACTCGCACGCTGCGTTGCAAGCGAAAACGACACCCTTGTGGGTTTTCTCAGGATCCCTCAAGATCAAAAACGGGGATGATAATTTGGGGTCCCCCATTTTAAGAAAACTCCAAGGGGGACATGTTGAAGTTGGATCTCCGAGGTCAGACGGTTGCTGCATGGTCAGGGGTGGCCAAACGTAGTTACTCTTTGTGAGGACGAGCAGGAAACTGAGACCCAGTCGTGGTTGTGCCGAAAAGTGACCAAGTGAAGCATCCAGAGGTTGCATTGACGCGTTTATACTTGCAATATCTTGTAGATTCTTGATGATTCTTGTAGATTCTTGTAGTATTTTTCAATACTTGCAATATATTATGTACGCCCAATGTACTCAGTTTTTGCGCCCAGCTGTTCTTCTGTTGTGACCTGATCGAGGTGGCAGACTGCAGAAGAGTGCACCCAGCTTGGTTAGCATTTGATATAATTAAATTTTGTAAATCCGCCTTGCGCCACGAAATCTCTTTGAACGGAAATATAATGAAATAGATGTCATTGTTGACATTGTGTCGTGTTTTGTGTGTGTGTTTTCCCCTAAACATCCAAACAATCCCAAACATTTTTTTGCCGGAAACATTGAAACAAAGATTGCCAGGAAGAGTTCCTTCCTTCGAAACTTGGTCCTTCACCCAGCGCATACAAGGCAGACAAGGTACCAGCAAATGGATTCAGGACTCCATCATTTGCTATCATCGTGGGTGACAGGGGCTCAAATGTTCAAAGACTTGCAAATTGTTGCCAGCTTCTACGTTGCATGAGTTGCCAACTTCCAAGTTGCATAAGGTCTATACTGAAACGTGATGCCAGGGACATGGATGCGGTTTCCGCTGCGCTCTACAGAGCAATGTGAAAGAAATGTGTAGCCTGAAAAAGCGAGACCAGCTATGAGCTGCACTTTTGGAGTGACGATACTGTATCAGGTTGCATTTGCTGTTCAGCACATGACATGTTATTTTTCGTTCTAGTCGCTTCGCGCAGGGCACTGCCCGCACCCCCATGATATAACGGGCAAGAGACCGGAGTATGGTAGCCGGGGATGCAGGCTGAGCAGGGGCCTACTTAGGCCCAACCTAAAGCATTTGGGCCAAACTTGGCCACACTTACTTAAACGGAAGCGAGGCCGAACATGCGCCGACTTGGGCCCCGCTCAAGCCCAACTGCGGCCCAATTTGGACCACTTGGCTCCAACTTGAGCGCCCCTTGGGTCCAAGACGGCGCAACTTGGGCATGTCTTGGTGCATGTTGGGCCTAACATGACGGAACTTCGTGTGTGTGTGGGTGCCACAAAAAACAAACGTTGGAAATAGCGACAAAAAAATCGCTTTCAGGATTTTGGATTGAGTCAGCAATATTGGCCCGTGTTGGACCCAACTTGGGGCCGACCTGTCCCCAAACGGACATACACGGACCCCACTGGGGCCCAAGCTGTGCCATGCTGGACGTAACTCAGGCCCCAGTTGGAGCCAACTGGACACGTTGGGCCGAAGTTGGGCCAAGGTGGACCCAAGTTGAGG